TTTATCTCTTCCTGGTACATCTTTGCCTGAAAGGGCAAACACCCTATTTGCTTAAAAATCAGAGCAACGCAAACTGTTGTAAGAGAAATGAATACCACAGACAGTAGGTGAGAATAGCTTTCGGCAAAGTTGTAACGGTTAGGAAATGTTTAGTGTTTTATTACTGCTATTAAGAAGGAGGAAAAACATATTTGTATAACATAATGCATACAGATTAAATATAAAAAAATAAGAAGATGCCTGCTAGATCAGGCCAATAGCCCGTCTCTAATCCAGCTCTTCTCACGGAGGCCAAGTGGTTACAGTGGTACCTCGGGTTACAAACTTAATTTGTTCTGGAGGTCCGTTCTTAACCCGAAACAGTTCTTAACCTGAGGTGTGCTTTCGCTAACAGGGCCTCCCGCTGCCACCGTGCCACCGTGGCGCAATTTCCATTCTCATCCTGGGGCAAAGTTTGCAACCTGGAGCAACTATTTCCGGGTTAGCGGAGTTTGTAACCTGAAGCATTTGTAACCCGAGGTACCACTGTACTCCAACAGGAGTTTCATTAATAAATAATGAAAATAAATAATTATCTATGACTCTTTTGCACAGGTAGGATATTTTAATCTAGTTTTTTAAAAAACAGCAACAACCCAGAACTGTCCCTTTAGATTGATTGCTTATGCTGGTTTCAATGTACAAATGGCTTCTTTGTTTAAAACAACTGTATGTCACTCTGCCATAGCAAAAAAAATGATGGATGGATAGATGGATGGATTCATTAGTTTATGATATGAACAGGCCACTTTGTACCTCTAGTTTCAATACCCCTTCCCTGCTTTTTAAAGAGATTCAATCCAGCACGTAAGAGTTTAGCTACACCTGCTCTGGGACAATCAAAGGCTTCGATTCTGACAAGAAGCATTGTATTAGAACTGAACGCAGACAGAGGAAGAGAAAAATATGTTTTGACTGGGGTAAAGCATTTCACAATAAATTGGGGGATATTTTCCCCCACCCCTAGTCCTGAATGCAAATGATATAGAAAATTAGCATATTTTCCCTCTGCAGTCCTTACCACACACAGTAAACTTTATTGCACAAAATCACAGCAGTTAGAACTGCAAAGTCATTCCAATATGAAATTCCGCACACATCTTACTGAAATGGAAAGAGGCTCCGAGATAATTCATTTGTGTCTGCCTTTGCGACACAGGTTCCTTGTTAACTGAGCCATTGCCATGCTATAGGGAAAGTCCCTCTTCACGCAGCGCATAGTTAAAACTATGGAACTTGCTCCCACAGGAGGAAATGATGCCCCACAACCTAGATGGCTTTAAAGGAGGATTGGATGAATTGATGGAAGAGAGGGCTGCTGACAACTGCTAGCCATGCTGGCTCTGATCTGCTGCCACAGCAGGGGGCTGCAATGCTTCTGAATACCAGTTGCTGGAAACCACAGGAGGGGAGAAGGTTCTTACTGCCTCTGACAATGGAGGAAGCACATAGACACCATGCCTAGTAGTTTATCCTCTATGTAGAGAGAGAAAGATTAATTTATTACAGTTGGAGACCAGCTTATAAAACACACTTGGGGGTACAGTCCCAGAAGGAAAACAAACAATTAAAACAATGTACAACAATAAAATTAAAATTTATAAATGCGATAAGCATATAGACACTTAAAACTTTAAGATAAACTACCGCAGAGAGCTGACCCAGAGTTACCCATGGAACCGAGTTTGGGGATTTTCTTAATGAACTAGTTTGAGTTGGAGATGGTCTGCGTCTACAGATCTGTACACAGAATCTGACGACCATCTGGGTCATCTTCTGATCTTTGCCTAACAGGAAAAGGTCAAATTTTTGCTTTTCCGGGAGGTCAGCGAGCCTCACCAGTCAATGGTCTTACTACGTGCCTCTTCATAAAAGGGACATCTAAAGAACAAGTGCTCTGGGCTTACTATCTCCCACAATGAACATGCGCAAAGTCTCTGAGCATATGGGACTTTTTAAAAGGCTCCTTCCAGGACCAGCGAGGGCAGAGCCGAGCTTCTGGCGAGTGTAAAGGCCCTTCTTGCATTATTGGATACGAGAAAGAAGAGATAAGCTGCCAGTGCGGCTATATATCTCTCGATTTCTCCAATTTTATAGTCGGGGCACCTTGAGCAGTCCTGTTGTCTCTCAGTGTCTATGATTCTTTGCATCCTCTATGAATTATTAGAATTATAAGAGCCTGCTGGATCAGGCCACTGGCCCATCTAGCCCATCATCCTGTTGTCACAGTGACCAACCAGGTGTCCCAGTGAGAAGCCCATAATCACGACATGAGCGCGCTCCCCTCCTAAAGTTCTCAGCAACTGGCATTCAGATGCATTGCTGCCTCCCACTGTGGAGGGCAGAGCATAGCCCTCATCTCCCAACTTCCTTGTCTCCAGGCTAAACATCCTCAGCTCCCTTTATAATAACCATTTAATAAGCAAATTATATCATCAAAATATGTGCTGCTTGCGGTTCAGAGTTCAATAGATAATGATGTTGTGGGTTTGGATGGTCAGTCTGGATGATGTCCCGAGCCCATTTCTTGGGATCCTGTACCCAGTGAGGGTTAGAATGTAAGAGAGGACTTTGCTGAACTAGTCTGACCCCTAGCTAGCAAGGCCAGAGCTCAGGGATGATGGGAGTTGTAGTCCAACAACATCTGGGGACCCACAGGTTGAGAACCGCTTAAGTCTTAAGATCAGCATCCAAAAAGAATGAGCTGGGCTGCAAGAGCTGCAACTAAGAATTGGGGCCCTCAGTGCTAATGGGTGAGCCTTTCATCTACCCCCCCTCACCTAGCTGCCCTGACAGAAAACAAGAACCAGGGTGGTGTATGTGAGCTGAGCTGGAAGCAGGCTGGAAGCTGGATCTACAGAGACCTGCTTACTCCGTGCTGGATCCAAAGCTCTTGGAGAAGCAAGATCTGTTAGAGAGTTAATGCTGTGAAGCTTATGCTCAGGTTGCCTATGTGTATATGTCTATAAAACTGTATATCCTAAAGACACCACATTCTCTGTTGACGTTCATTCCAAGGAAACTGAACTCTGGGTTAGCACCTGGGATGCCTGGAGACATTAATTGGTCAGAGATTGGGGTGGAGTGTTAATGCTGTGAAGGCTTCCATCTTATGGAATATGCTACCTATAAAGCCTTATGAGGAACAGTTGGAGGAGTTGGGGATGTTTAGCTTGGAGAATAGGAGATTGAGAGGAGATATGAGAGCCAAATATCTAAAGGGCTGTCACATGGGTGAGACCCAAAACAATGGATTCAAATGACAAGGAGATTTCAACTAAACATCAGGAATAACTTCCTGATGGTAAGAACTGTTTGACAGTGAAGGTGGTGGACTCTCCTTCCTTGGATGTTTTCAAAGCAGAGGATAGATGGGCCATTTGCCAAGAGTTCTTTAGCTGGATGGGCCATTTGTCAGGGGTGCGTTGCAGGGGGTTAGACTGGATGATTCTTAGGGCACCTTCCAATTCCACATTTCTGATTCTATGACATGCCCAGTAGGGCACGGTCCATAGACTTGAGTGAAATAAACTAGCCCCTCTAATGCCTTTGTTCTTAGTAGGAGAAAAATAATGAGGAAAATGAAAATAAAAAACCAAGGTAAATTAAGAGAATGGAGCACGATTGCACCTTACTTCCACCTTTCCTGTGAGAGTCTGGCAGATGGCCAAATGCAGTGGCTTAAGTGGCACCGGATGCCGCCACCACAACCACCTTAGGATTGCACTCTTAAGCAAGAAACTTTCCCAACCTCAACTCCTCATCTGTAGCTTGATCTTCTTTTTAAAAAGCTCGCTCTTTCGCCATTAAAGCTGTACATTTAGAAGCCTTATTTTATGCAGTTAAATGGGTGTGTAGCAGATCCCTACATTTCCTGGTGAGTGTGGTGGTGATGTGCAAAAGGCGCAATGCTACAGTGGAGGAGCTGGTGTGGTGGAAAGAGTTAAGGATGCCACACCCCTCTGTTTCCATAGTTTGCTCTATCTTCAATATTTGAGAAACAGCTGGATCTGGCCAGTGGACATCTAGTCCAGCATCCTCTTCTCACAGAGGTCAACCAAATGCATCAAAGTGAAACCTGCAAGCAGGACCTGTGCACCAGAGCACTCTAACCTTCTGTGGTTTCCGGCAACTCGAATCCAGAACCTTTAATGCCTCCAGTCTGGTAGGCCATTGTGGCTAGTAGCTGTTCATGGCCTTCTCCATGAATTTCTCTAATCATTGCCTCCTGTGAGAGTGAGCTCCATAGTTTAACTAGGCATTGTGTGAAGGAGTCCTTCCTTCCATCCATCCTGAATCTTTCAACATTCAGCTTCACTGGAGGTCCACAAGTTCTAGAGTTGTGAAAACTCTTTTCTCTATTTGTTTTCTCCAGGCCAAGCCATGATGGGTCTGAATACCAGCTCCTGGAAACCACAGGAGGGGAAAGGACTCCTGTGCTCAGATCCTGCTTGAGGGTTTCACACAGGCATCTGGCTGGCCACTGTGAGAACAGGATGCTGGACTGGGTGGGCCACTGGCCTGATCCAGAAGCCAGATTCTTCTTATACATTGCTAACACATATGCACTTCTCTGGATAAAATGTGCATATTTGCCGATGCAAATTTAAATTCCTAAAATTTAAACACCCTAGAGGGGAAGGCTGTGGCTATACAACCTGGGTGCCTGCTCAGTCTGCTGCCCAGATGCTGCCGATGCACTGATTCAAGGCCACTTGTACCAGACAGCCTTTCAAACAGATGACACTTTCAGTCTACAGGGCTTTGGACATGGCCATCCTAGACCCCAGCAAAATGAATTAAAATTCCAATTATTGGTCAAAAGGTGCCTCCCAAAGTTAATAAAATCATATCAATGTGTGTGTGTTTTTCTTTCTTTTTTACTGTTTTTATTTATTTTCATGGTACAGAAGATAAATTTTGAGAAAACAATTGTTACAACAGTAAACAACAAGTAACTCGTCCCGACAAAAATACTTTTATCATGCCATGTGTTAAAGTTTCATTTGATTACTCTAAGAGAAAACACCACATTTTCCATGAGTCCTGGGTGGATTCATGCCACAGTCTGAACAATTTATGTATTCAATAAACATTTGCCATATGTTATAAATAATAATAATAAAAAAATTTATTTATATCCCGCCCTCCCCAGCCGAAGCCGGGCTCAGGGCGGCTAACAACAGGAATATGGATTGTGTTTGCCCTTTGCTGCTCTCACCTAGCATGTTAGTTTCTCAGCCAATGCTATTGACCATACTCGGTCATATCAAGAATCAATGTTCAGCCCATCACAAGTTTTCCAACATCTCGCTATCTCCATACGAGCAGCAGTCAATAGAAAGGCTAAGAGGTCATCTTTAGGATAATCACGAGCAGACGGGATCCTAAGTCAATGTGTAGCTTAATTGTGGACAGAAAGAAGGGGGGGGGGGAGACACAGCACCACCCCAAGTTAAAAATCTTGCATTTAAACGCACCTTGCAGATGAATTTTGGTTGAGTTACCAGGAGGATTTCGAAAAGGCAAATGTTTCTTACTTGCTTGTTCTCTGGATTTTGAAAAAAAGAAAACGTCACAGAGATATTTCATTAGATTTGTATTCCCATTTCCATATCTCATATTTTTAAAGAAAACAAAGAAAAAATGGACCTAAACTTAAGCAGGTTTTGTGTGTTTTGCCCACAGAGTGGGAATAAATTTAAACAACGAGCCCAAGTAGGCATGTTTTTCCTAGAAAATATAAATAAAAATACAACATATAAAATTAGGCCATAAAATTAGGGCTGATGGACTGGCTGGCTGGGCTCCCTCGCCCACTTGCTTGCTTATTCAGCTCCTGGCAGCCAGAACCCCCGGGCCAGCCCCAGAGGCACCATTCGTCTGGGAAGCTTGTAGCCAGGGCTGCTGCAACAAACAGCTGCGCAAGCCTTTGGGAGGCAGAGACCCGAGAGGGCATCAGAGGAGGGAGGGAAGGAAAGAGAGATGGAGGCCAGGGTTGCCCGCAGCACCCCTGACCATCATTCAACCAGGGTGCCACAACACACTGGTTGAAAGCCACTGGACTATAGGAGTAGTGGGAGATCACACCCTACTTCACAGTTTGCACGGAAACCAGAGGAGGGAATTTTGTACCAAGAGCACAAGACAGGACACTCCCTGGACTCAAACCGGCCTCACAAGCTTCATAAAACAGCTCCTTAGTAATAAAAAAGGATATATTTTATTTACACTGGCCTGGAGGAAACATGTTTGATACCAGGCAGAGGGCCTTCTCAGTAGTGGTGCCCGCCCTGTGGAACGACCTTCCACCAGATGTCAAGGAAATAAACAACTATCTGACTTTTAGAAGACATCTGAAGGCAGCCCTGTTTAGGGAAGTTTTTAATGTTTGATGTTTTATTGTGTTTTTAATATCCTGTTGGAAGCCACCCAGAGTGGCTGGGGAGGCCCGGCCAGGTAGATGGGGTATAAGTAATATATTATTATTATTATTATTATTATTATTATTATTATTATTATTATTATATCACTACTACTCTGGGTAACTGGTTTCCACTTAACTAACAGATATTTAAATCTGGGTAACTGGTTTCCACCTAGCAGATATTTAATCTAGATTTAAAGAGGGGTATTGGGAGATGCAGCTTGGCATTTTGATGCCAGTGATATATAAGAGCCTGCTGGATCCTGCCACTAGTGTAACCCAGGGGTCAGCAAACGTCCACTGTCCAGGGGGCCTGTCCACTGTCCCTCAGACCTTGAGGAGGGCAGACTATATTTTTTTTTGGGGGGGGGGGGATGAACAAATTCCTATGCCCCACAAATAACCCAGAAATGCCTTTCAAATAAAAGCACACATTCTACTCATGTAAAAACACGCTGATTCTCGGACCATCCGCGGGCCGGATTTAGAAGGTGATTGGGTCGGATCCAGCCCCCGGGCCTTAGTTTGTCTACCCATGGTGTAACCTGTTCTCACAGCAGCCGACCAGCTTCTCCAATGGGAAGCCTATGAGCAAGCCTTGGACACAAGAGAATAAGTGAGAAGAGCCTGCTATACCAGGCCAGTGGTTCTCACAGTGGCCAACCAGATGCCTGTGGGAAAACAGGATCCGAGTGCCATTGCAACTCTCCCCTCCTTCAGTTTCCAGCAACTGGTGCTCAAAAGCCTTGCAGCCTCCAACAATGGAGGTCAGAGCATAGCCATCATGGCTAGTAGCCATCCACATCCCTCTCCTCCTCCATGAATTTGTCTAATCCTCTTGTAAAGCCATCCGAATTAGAGGCCATCACCGCTTCCTGTGGGAGGGAGTTGCATAATTTAACTACACATTGCGTGAAGGAGAAATGTATCTGTCCTAAATCTTCCCACATTCAGTTTCATTGGATGCCCATGAGTTCCAGTGTTATAGAAGTCAGACAAAGCACGGCTGCTGCAAAATAAATAAATAAATAAATAAATAAGGCATGCAGGTGGATGGTCTGGGGATGTGGCTCAACCTGAGAATCCCATTGCAGATTTGTTTCCTTTCTTTGAATATATTAATCCCTCTGGCTTCTCAATCTTTATTGTCGTATTTCAATACCATTTGATAATCGGGGAAATATGATTTTTGGGGGGTATGCTGGTTTGCTGTTGTGTCTAATTTTTCCTTTCAAAGTATTTATTTTCATTTTATAAAGTACAGTCGTACCTTGGATCACGAACGCCCTGGAAGTCAGACGTTTTGGCTCCCAAACGCCGCAAACCCGGAAGTGATTGTTCCAGTTTGCGAACGCTCTTTTGAAACCTGAACGTCTGACGGGGCTTCCGCGGCTTCTGATTGGCTGCAGGAGCTTTCTGCAGCCAATGAGAAGCCAAGATTTGGTTTTCGAACATTTTGGAAGTCGAATGGACTTCCGGAACAGATTCCAAGGTACGACTGTATATAGAACAGAGAAAACAATTGTAACTGCAGGTGGAAATTGAAAAAAAGAGGAAAACAAACTATAAAATAGGCACAGAGAATGAGCACACTTGCACAGGGGTTAATGTAGCAAGGTCTAAGTCAGGAGCATCAGCATTATCAGATTATCTAGTACGGGGAGTCATATAATATGCCCTATGCTGTAGCTGTGGTGTTCAGCTTATTTTTTAGTTGCTGGTTTATTAATAGCGTTTTATAGATTGCAATTGTTTCACTGATGATGTGTTAATTTATACGACTTATGTTGTACCTTTAATGTTCCATTATGTTCTTGCTATTTATTGTCACACACAAAAAGAACTTTATTGCGGCCAGTAGACCCGAAATACACGGTACTTGTGGTCTGTAAGCTGCTTTGGGAATTCATTTGAATGGAAAGAAATTCTGAGCTTGCTCACACTTCCACTGGTGCACAGGTCTGAGAGGTATTCTACCTGCCCCAACCACTTTCTCCAGGAAAACTCGCTCTTTACCACTGTATTGGAACTAACGTCAACCTGCAGAAAAACCAACTGATATTTGCTCCATTTCAGCAGTGAATCCTTTTCCCAAGGAGAGGAGCGGGACAAGCAGAAATGTGTACGAACCCATAGAAATACATTCACTTACTCACTCACTCACTCAGTGTAGTTCCAGATTTGCCAGGCTTGTTAGGAAGGCTGATTTGCTGTTGCTATTTCACTGTGTTGCCTTTTTCCTTTCTCTTCATTGCTTACCTGCTTTATTTCAGTGTTGATATGCTTTTGCATGTAACAAAAACTCAATAGGAGGTTTTTAAGGAAGGCCTGCCATTGGAGCAGCCACCCCACAATAAGCAGCCACCTGGAAACACCCTACAAGTTGCAAGCCTTCCCCCAATTTGCTGGAACACCCCAGTGTGTGGAGTGATCAACACTGCAGATGTTGCTGTCAGTTGGATGGCTAGAGCATTTATATCCGACCTTAGGTTTTTCCAAGCAGCACATATAAGTCTCCTCCTCATTTAATTCCCACAACAGCCCTGTGAGGTAAGGCTGAGAGGAAGTGCCTGGTTCCCAATGCTACACCCAAAACTTCATGGCAGAGTGTGGGGATTGGAATCTTGGTGTCTCGGGGTCCTAGTCCCACACTCTAACCATTATGCAGCACCACCGTTATTGCAAAGCGCTGTAGCGACTACAGCGGCGTCGAACGTTCGCTACTGCTGAGCGATACCTAGATCGGTATCTGAGGCTTTGCGTGCGCTTTGAGTGAGCTCTGAGCCCGCGCTCCCGTGTGTAGAGGCTTCTCTGCAAGCTCCGCCGTCCGGCACGTGGTGGAACTGGGCATGCATATGTGCCGAGCAGTCGCCAGGAAGGCACAGTAGTGCCAAGCGGCCCCGGATCGGCGCAACCTTGCCCGCTGTGCGCAGTTAAAGCGCAGCTTGGGATCTCTTGAGGCCATCGAGTCAGACTGCCGAGCGGGGGAAAGCGAGAGCGAGCAAGGCGCGGCGCAGCGCTTTCAGGCGGAGCAAGAGTGCGGAGCCAATCTCCTCCCCGGAATCGGAGTCCAAAGGGGCGGGAAGGGAAGCGCATAAAACCCGAGCGAAGGCCGACCGGCTTCCTTCTCTCCCGCCCTGTCCGGAGGCGCGCCGGGCGACAGCAGCGGAGCCGAGCGCGGGAGCGCGCGGCGTGGCCAGCCTAGGGAAGCCACTTACTTTTACTGCTTCTATCCCACCAACCGCGACTTGTTGCTGCTCTCTCCGCCCCGGATTCAAGGGATCTCCTCGGCCGCTGCGCCGATTGGGCGACCAGAACCGCCGCTCCTCCCAGGCCTGCCGGCTCGCCAGCCTCCGTCTCCGCCCTCCCTCCGCGCCCGGGTTCACCTTCTCCGGGCAGCCCGGCTTTCCTCCAAAGCGTCCGTCCGTCGGCGGAGCTTGCAAGGAAAGGAGGGGGTGTGCGGGCCGCGGCGCTCTCTCGCCTCCAGCCAGCAGCCGCTCTCTCTCTCCCGGCTGTAACCTCAGCTCACCCCTGCAAGAGAGGCATCAGTTTGCAATTGCAACAGCAGCAACTGCCAACGGCTGCGTCTTCGCTCCGGCTGGGAAACTTGAAAAAAACAAAAAAAGAACAACAACAAAAAACAGCGGACTAGCGCCTTGACTTCTGCGTTTCCCCAGGCGGGAGGCGTCGGACCCGAGAGGCCAAGGCCGACCGGCTTTTCTCTCGCACACCACTGACAACTGCACCTGCTCCAATTTAGGAGCGCCTCGCGCGTGCCCCGACGGCCCAAGGGATGGCTCTGTTGGTCGCCGTCGGAAGCTGGTAGAAAAGCCCGGTTCTCGCAGCTGACATCCCGCCCAGTCGAGGAGTCTCCAGAACCAACCTGCAGCCAGAGAAAAACACAGCGGGCTGACCCCCACTTCCCTTGCCGTCCAGCCACAGGCGAGATCATGGAGGTGCACGTCGGTCTGGGCAGAGTCTATCCTCGGCCGCCGGCGAAAGCTTTTCGAAGTGCCTTCCAGAACTTGTTTCAGAGCGTCCGCGAAGCGTTCCAGAGCCCCGGACCCCTGCGGGAGGAGGCTGGCCCCAGCCACCAGGCGTCGGCGTCCGCGACGGCGGGGTCATCTTCCTCGGGGTCCCACTTGCAAGAGCCCAGCGCCCACCAGCAAGACCCGGCTTCGCCCACTTACTTGCCGCTGGAGGAGCAGCCCCAGGTGAGCAAAACGCTGCAGCCCCCCGATGAGCGGGAGGAGTCCGCGTCCTCGTCCGCCCCGTCCTCTCTGGCCCTGCTGGGAGGCCCCTCTTTCCAGAGTTGCCCGGGGGACTTTAAAGACATCCTGGGTGAGAGCAGTCTTCTGCAGGCGGCAGAAGGAGGCGAGCCCCGCGGAGGAGGCGAGGAAGCCCCATCTGACAAAACTGACTACCTGGGGGAGAGCGCCAAGGAGCTGTGCAAAGCCGTCTCTGCCTCCATGGGCTTGGCGGTGGAAGCGCTTGATGCGCCCGGCGTCGGCGAGGTGGCGGCGACCCGCGGCGACTGCATGTTCGCTGGCGCGCACGCTCGGCCCCTGAATCTGGGCGGCTGCAAGATCATGGAAGCCGAGGAGGGAGGCACTGGCGGCGAGGGCGCGCTGGCCATGGACGTGCCAGGACACCTGAACCTCTACAAGAGCTCTCCGGAGCTGGAGGAGCCGTCGGGAGCCTTCCCGAACCGAGACTACTACAACTTCCAGTTGGCCCTGGCCTCACATGGGCGCATCAAGCTGGAGAGCCCCTTGGAGTACGCACCCGGCGGTGCCGTTTGGGGGCCGCAGTGCCGGCGCGCCGGGGACGTGCCTGCTGCCTTGGCGCCCCACTATGCCGGCCCTCCTGGCCCCGGCTGGCACCCCTTCTTCACCGAGGAAGGGCAGCTCTACGAAGGCGCACCCCCGGCCACCTTCGGCTACGCCAGGAGCCAGGGCCCGCCGTCTGGACAAGAGGGCGCAGAGCTCCCACCGTCCGAGGTGTGGTATCCCGGGGGCGTAGTGGGCAGGATGCCCTTCGCCCCTGCCACCGGCTGCATCAAGACGGAGCTCACCCCGTGGATGGAGGGCTACCCGGGGGCCTACGGAGACATGAGGTAAAGGGCTAACGCGCTCAGACATTCCTCACCGAGGGCCGGTAGGGTTTTGCAAAACACTTGCAGGCAGATTGGAGGGGTAAGATCCCGGGTTTGCAAAAAGAAGAGGGGAGGATTGCAACCAGTATTCTTTTTTAGCCTGGTTTGCGGTGTGTGTGGATTGCATGACCTTTTGCATCTCCTCCTGCAATTTCCTTGGGTGTGAATTGGTGCAGGGCAGGGGTCCAAAGGAGGGCTTCATCCTAATGGTTGCTGGTTCAAGGCCCACTCTGCTCTGGAGCTACTCGCAGGTAAATACCCAACCTGTCTGCTGAGCTTGCTGATCAAGTGTAGATAAAGCAAAAACTATATTAACCCTCCCCCCCCCCCAAAAAACTTACCCCAGTTTTCTTGGGGTAAATTGTCAATTTGTTCAGTCCTGACCATGATGCATCTTTCTTCAGTCTGACTGAATGTCAGGATTTGGGGGTATCGTTTAGAAATGTTGATTTCATTGGCTTTAGCAGCATTCTGGATTCCTAATACAGTTGGGAGTCCTCTGCATGAATGTAGCATTATTTTGTTGTTTCGAGCGAGGTTCTGGCAGAGTTCACTGCCGTTGCTTCTCCCATGACTCATCTGGGAAGGTGCTTGCACCAGAATTTCTATGCTCTGAAACCAGGACTTTGAAAGGTCTAATGGATTTAGCGATCCATTAGAGATATGGAGCTATGATTATTCATATTTAAATTTGCTCTTATCTCCCCCCTCCTCCCCCCCCCCCCCCACTTTGAATAGCTGAGTCTCTTTATAATGATCAGGGCCGTTTCAGTGTCGTTATTTTTTATATATAAAAAGTTGTCTGTATTTTGTATGCTCCAGCGAGTTTCTAGAAACGCTGACAACAGCAGACGTAAATTAAGGTAAGTAAATTTGTGTCCATAAATGTGGATGAGCTCCCACTTCTGAATTCTCACCCCTTTAGAGACTGAACTGAGACTGCATTTTGAGTTAAGCTGTGCTGCAAATATTATTTACACGCAAGAGAGATCTCATAGTTGGTTGACAAATATAGCAAGCGGTTAAAAACTTTTGCAAGCTACTTTCTAAACAGAAGGTTGGAAAATGCAATTGATGTAAATAATTTAAACACAGAATTGATCAGTACGGGCCTTTATATAAAGGTATGCATGTGCAATTTTTTTTAAAAAAAATGTTTCTTTTCTCTTTGCTTAGCTAGAGCAGATGAGACATGAGATACTTGCTTTGGTGTTGCAGGTGCAACCATGCTTATTTGAGGGAAGCCCCACTGCACTGGATGGGACTTTCCACTTAACAATTGAACCTCAGTTGGTGGGCACTGGACTTTTACCCTTGCCACACACCCATTCTGTGTCTGTCCCCCTGCAGCTGGTTGACTCAACTGGAGTTATGGGCTTTTTTAATACCTAGGTATCTTGTTTGCTGGTTGTCCTGGCACACTCCTTAGCTAGCCAGTGTCCATCTCACCAGTGGCGCCTGTATAGACATTCTTAGTGGTGAGGCCATGAGTTTAAAATGAAGACAAGGATCAGGTCCTTCCCTTCCTAGAATCCAGTTGTAAAGGAACTCAGACTTATCGCTCCCTGAGTACCTCATGCCTGGTCTGGTGATGTAACAATGACTTCATTTGTTTGGGCAATAAAATTTCTGCCACTAGTAGTAAAGTCTCCACATCAACATTTATTATTATTATTATTATTTTACAAGCAACAGTCAAATGCAGTGCACTTTTGTAGGAGTGGTGATGGCTTCCTTGAAACCAGATTCATATGATCCTTTAACAAACAGAAACATAAGCAAGGAGGTTTTAATCTTGGCTTCAGCTATATACGATTAAGGATCCCTAATTCCTTAAGGAGCGAGTCTTATTCTTAAAATCTGTTTTGCAGCCCAATCCAAAAGATCCTTAAACTGAAGCATTGTAGTGTCGCTTTGAGTAGGATGCTAATATGTGTTTATGCAGGAGGAAAAGCTACCGGTTTCACCAGAACTTATTTCTAGTGAATATATACGTTTAGAATCATATTTTCAAGTGACTTTAAAATTATAGTGTTTGAGCTTAACCGGGTTTAGACAGATTTGCATTAGGATCTTCGTTTAATATTTGTTTCATTTGATAATGAATGGGTTAGATTGTCAGCCTTCCCTATCCAGAAGCTGAGGTAGAAAGCACAAATAAATAAAATTAAAACGAAAGAAAGCATGAATTGATCCATGTCCCAAAGGCTCATAGTCTGGAAAAACGTTGTGGATGGCCACAACCCAAGCCTCCCATAAAATTTTACAACAAAGATACTTAATTGGGATCTTAATAAACTACTGCATGATTTTGCAAAGGCATTTAATCACTAGAGTTACATGGGACGCTCTGCCTGTACAAAATGGCACGCACAAGTTATATGTGGGACTCATCGCAGCCGAGTCCAGTGTTGCTTTTGCCTGATTGTGTCTTTATGATACATGTTGGGAGGAGAAGTGCTGGGTGGGGGTGGAATAATACAGTGGGGTGGGGGGAAGGCAAGAAGTTCTGTGCATGTTGATCGGTGAAATGTACAACCAGCACAGAAAGAGCCCCTTTGCGTGTAGGCATGATTCTCATATCGGGCTGCTTTCGGTTTGAAGACTTGAGCCGTCCGCCATTTTGTCCTGCTTTCTCAAAATGCAGCTCGGCGATATAAGCACAGCAGTTATGCTACCCTGAGCTTTGGCCTGCAGCTCCCCCTCCCCATTTTCATGGAAGGGGCACTGTCCAGATTTTGCCTTAAACTACTGGTGAGTAAGGCAAGTGGTACCTGTGTGGTGCTTGCAAGCATCTTGGGCGATGCATCAATGCTGACCCATAGAAGTTTTTGAGTCAGAGAAAATGGGGTTCATTGCTCGGG